TTTGCTTTCATTTTGTAATCACTCGCACGGGTACAATATCGTTCGATTATGAGAAATCCTTTTTTGTGCGATAATTTTGATGGCAATACAAAAAATTCAGCAAAATGATTCGTAGCTTTCCCGGCTATTAAGAGGTTTTATTTTTAAAATAATTTTTATTATTAAATATAATAAAATGACAAACGGGTTTATTTTTATGGTAGAGACAAATTTTAAAGCATGATGTTAATGCCAATTACTATTAAAATTTTTATCAAGTTTCACCCACTGGAGATATAAGACGAAACCTTTACTATTTCGTATTTTCTCCAACTTTAACCACCAAAATTTAGTAGCGTTAATTCTCCTTCTGAGCAACTTCCCGTAAGAAGCTGCTTTTATTTATCCATTTCGACAGTTATACGTAACAGAGAAAAAGTCTAGCGATAAGACAAAGTAGCCCTGAAGATTATTACATGTTAAACATAGCGAGCCTTAAAACGGCCAGAAATTCAAAAAATTAAGTAATTGTTTCTGTATGAATGTATGAATACTCTGTTTGAGGGGCAAGATTTTGTTTATCCTGTTTGGAGCTTATTAACTTCTGGGCTTTTCGATGAAAATTTCTGAAATTTTGCAGGATGGTTTGTCACTAAGGGTCATCGATCGTGTTAAATTATGATGCTTAAAAGTCAAGGGAATAGGGAAATAGGGGTCGTGTTATATCGCCAATAAGATCAAACTTAATGACGATATTACTCGTTATTAGCATTTACAATTTTTTTTATAAAACTCATTCCTGCTCTCAAAATTAAGTTATTTGCCATTTTGTTATAATATTTAAAAACATGAAGAGTTTTTAAAATATGATAAGAGAATGCACCACCAAATAATGCAAAGAAGTTAAGCAACTCGTTGCTTCATTTTTGTAACCGTCCTCAGATATTAAACGAAATAGACGCCAACACACACACACACGCAAACACAAACTTGTTTTTCTGTTTACAGAGTCTCAGTATTGATAGATTTGAAGAAATCTCCGTGGGGATTCAAGTTTGAGACGATTTGAAAACTTTTTCGTGTTATATACTTAACATGGAAATTAATTAAGGTAATATTCTTAACAAAAATCATTGAAAGTAAACTCTACTAGTGAAGACTTAAATAAACGATTACACATCAGCAGTGTGCAAAACAATAGAAAATATTATTTTATTACATACAGCACTGGCAGTTGTAGAATGTATTTGTCTCGAGCAAGCCGAAAACTTGAAATGCCCTAAGGAATAATTTATGCGGCTTGCCCGAAACGTTCGAAGTTTTCTTCCAATTTTAACACAAAAGAGGTTGCTGAACATTGCTGTAATACTTTTTTGTACACAATACAATCTACCCTGTGTTCGCTCTTTTCACACACTTATATAATTAATACTAAATTTTTAGTAAAATTGAAAAATGATAAAAATATTTATTTGCACTGGCGATACCCTTCAGTAGGAATAGAATGAGCAAGCTGTCTTTCGACTTAGCCCGGGAAGTTAGAAAAGGTGGGGATAACGGGTGGAAGTTGGGAAGAAGTGGGTTAGAGAGGAAGAGGAAAAAGGCGGGGATGGGGATGGAAGAGGCAGAAAGTGAAAGGAAGGGTTTGGGATTTCCTGGACGGACTTAACTTTTTTATTGAAAATAAAGGAACATTTACATATAAACAAGGTGTTAATTTCGCTGGGAAGAGTACAGTACTAAGTATAATTATACAATAAAGACATTTCAAGTAGGGTATTACAAAAAAGTTGGGTAGTATACAGAGGTGCTTTGTGCAAGCAGTGTTGATGCTGTAAAGCCTGTCAGATGGTCCTTATTGGCGGGTAGTTGACGAAAACGGTGAGTTGTGGTTGCTGGAAGCTGGAAGAGGTTACTGCTGCTGGACAAGTTGCGGAAGATGATAGCTGGATGCTAGAAGGAAATTCCGAACTAGTGATGAGGCCCGCAGACTATGGCAGACAGAGGTGGAGCCCAACCGATGGGGGGATGGGTGGCCAGCCTAAGATGAACCGGTGGCAGGCAGGGGAGTGCCTGTAGGAGGGCAACCCTGCGAGGAGCCACGGAAGATGGTGCAGGAGTTTATAAAATTGTTGAACACGGTGAATGTTTCTTTAGTCTCACATAGAAAGTCCGCTGGAGGTGGCCATGGCTGGCCATTGAGGGTGCAGTGCATCCATAGAGGACCATGCTGGAGGTCGAAGTCCGGGCAGTCGAAGACATAGTGGAAAACATCCCCAATACTAGTGATGTCACAATGGCAGTGAGGAGATGGAAGTTTTTTGAACCTGTGTAGATATGCCGGAAGGTTCCCATGCCCTGTGAGGCATTGGGAGAGCTCAAAGGTGGGGTGAAGATGATGCAGGAGGATGCGTCTGTGGATGGAGGGAAGGAAGCGGTAGGTAGTGCGGCCAGTAGTGGAAACTTCCCATTCCGATTGCCAGCCTCATTGCATTTTTTGAGGATGTAGCTGTTGATGTGCGTTATAGGTACACGTCCATAGGTGGGATTTAGCTTCAATCCAGCCGCCTTTTTGGCCAGGGAATCAGCCCGCTCATTTCCTTCGATGTTTTGGTGACCGGGAACCCAACAAAGGGTAACGTTGCTGTAGTTGTTGAGATTGTTGGCAAGGTGGCACTGGCGATATCAATTCACAGAGTCGGTTCTATGCATTGACAAAGTAAGCGTACGCTTACGCGACGAGTATGATTTTAATTCTAATTTTTCTAAACTGCATTGTATGCGCGGGCCTGGCTGCAGCTTTTGCAAAGGAGATTTCTATTACTGTAATTATTAATTAAATCAGAGTAATCGGGTTTGCATTAGGTAATATACCGTTGACAGGGTGAGTAATAAAATAGAATTTTCGTACAGAGCAGAATACGTATATTATAGAATTCATTTGCACGTAGATTTATCTTATCCGATTAGTAAACGCTGACAGATTTTTATATAAACAACACTTTCACTACTACGCTTCAACCTATTTATGTTAATTAGATATTAAAAATGCATTTTAACTGAATTATTTAATTTATTTATAATTTAATGATCGCTTAGTTTGGATAATAATTCTTACGATTGTAACAAATGGTTTAAAAATGTACNCTTCAACCTATTTATGTTAATTAGATATTAAAAATGCATTTTAACTGAATTATTTAATTTATTTATAATTTAATGATCGCTTAGTTTGGATAATAATTCTTACGATTGTAACAAATGGTTTAAAAATGTACGAATATACAAATAAAAAAATTTATACAAAGAAGTTAAAGTTTTGAAGTCTTGTAATCATCCCTTCATAGTCGTTAAAAAACAATTTTATGCAATGAAAATTTCCCTGTCATCCGACTTCACACAATTGATATAAACACAGGCGGGGACGACCTGTAAAACGAGATCAACATCGATACGGTTGATTGCGTTCTTGAAATGGTGAATGGAAGTTTTTTTTTTTTTCTGTTGTATGTGTGTTGAATGTTGTATAATTTGTACTTTATTTAAGTTTATATTTTTTTATTAGATTTTTATTATAAATACAGTAATACCCCGAACTTACGCGATAGATGGGACCGAGCGATAACCGCGTAAGTCGAATTCGCGTAAGTCGGGGTATAATTTCGCAATTTGTGTAAACTCCAAGTCGGATGTATGTAAGCTAATAAATGTTGTCGTTAATCTTATTTCGTCATTTGATTTGTTCACAGTTGCAAGAAATCAGCACATAGAGTCTCTCGAGTTTCCGTAGATATAACAAACACAGAAATAAATAACACAAAATAAATTGTAGCTACGCGTCGATTCCGCGCGGCACAACCGAACATGTAACTGAACAATAGTGTGGGGGGGAGTGAGAAATCAAGAGTTGCGTGGCGATCAAACAAAAGACGAATCGACAAGATTTGAAAATCGCGTAAGTCGTGGTAGCGTAAGTCGAGTTATTACTGTATAGACAATGGAACGCTTGTCAAACGTTCACCCACTGTATCGACAAAAAACTTATAAATGCAGCTTTTTATTAGCTAATCGAACATTTTCGTTCCACTACCTCAGGAATAAAAATCTTTTTGTATTCCTGATGAAGGTCATTCAAATGGCGATAACTTTTAAAGTATTTTTTTTTTCGATGTTTGATTATAGCTAATTTCTTTTAACATTTGAATGTAGTTAATGACGACGAATTCGTTTCAAATAAATAACGCATTGGGAATGTTTTTAACCAATGTACCAGAACATTTATTGAAATCACTCGAATGATGTGAATGTCATTTTATCTGCACCGACCGTGACTAACTTTAAATTTCAAAATCGAAGTATTTACTTCCTAGCTTTTACTTTCTCGGCTTGTTATGTATATAACGAGGTAAAGTATTGGAGTCTGTCGAATTCGACCCGCCTCAAATCCGGCAAATTTTGTTGTTTTGAGATTCCAACTATTTACCTGGCTTGGACATTTTTTGGTCAGGGTCTCAAAATACGCGATTTGTAGTACATAAATACGGTACGTAAAGTGCATATCTGTGTTTGGTTTTGTTTCGTTTGATGTCTCGAGTGAGGTGATGATTAAAAAACAAAATATAGCATTTTAGCTTGTATATAGAGTGTATCGATGCTATTAAGTTTTCCTGGTTAAAAGTCAACGGAGTGGAGAGACAGAAAAAAGTCCTGTTGTATCTCGAGTGGGGTCAAATTTAATCAGGAACTTTTTTTGTTTCTTAGTATTTACGTGAAGTTTTATAAAAACATATTTCAACCCTCAAAATTCGGCTTATTTTCAATTTTGTAATTACAGTATAACACTTATTTTTAAACGAAATATCACAGTTGATAGCACTGCAAAAATGTTAACTTTCATATAACGTCTAGACGTAATTTCAAGGTTTTCTGAACACAAATAACACGCAAAACCTTTACACTTTAATATAAATATTATGTCATCAAACAGATATATAGGTTTCATAAGTAATAAATACTACATATGAAAAGTGTATAGAAAAGTGTAGATGAGAATGGAGAGGAAAGAAAAAAGTAACCCATTCGATACTGTTGGTGTTTTCTCTCGAATATTTTTCTGGTATGTAATATTACTTTTTCTCATTAATTTAATAATTGAAATTTTGTAATACAAATAAGTATTAAGTTATTTACTCACGAGTAATCTTTAAAAACAAAACCCCTCATATTTTCATTTCGTTATTTCATGTTATAATTCCGCCATAGATACAAGTTTTATATTATTACTGTATTGTATTTAATTTAACGATTTTTACCAAATGAAAGCTAACACCGCAAATCTTCCCGTGTTTGTGAAATGGAAGGAACATACAGTATATATTGACAGGGAACTATTGATTCTTAAGATAAATCCAAGAGATTTAATTAAAATTATTTGCTTTATTAAACACGAGATGTACAGTACTTTGTGTTCGATGTGTGTTTAACTATTTGTTTAACCTAATATATTATGCAAAATACAATTAAAAACTTAATTTTATTAGTTATTTAATGTTAACATTTCAAGAAAGCAATAAAGAATTTTATCGTTTATACAGTAGACCCCCCTATAAGATATAGATACGTTCCATTCTTTTGGAATCCGATTTCTTACGAATCCTTCCAATCACAACCCGACACGTGTCAAGTTTACGGACTACGGCTGTTTGAAAGATTTTCTTCCATAAAATTAATCGATTCTAGACTAATCCGACTCAACATTTCCAAAATACGTATATTTTTTTTGGGAATAATCCGTATAAACTACGCTATAAACAAAAAATTGTAGGATTACTTACCGAGTGTCACCATTCGACATCGCCATTGCTCAACATTGTTTTCGTCGCGGAACAGCTCAGCAAAGAGCGGCCGATTTCTAACAACTTATTTTTCTGTGAAAACTTCGTAGAACTTCGGAGACATCATTAATATAAATAATTTTAATCGCCGTTGAATAAGAAATGTTTCTTTCACAAGAAATGTATAAAATTACAGTACTGTATTAGACTTACGGTACCTAATTTACATACTGACAGACGATAGTTAGCGTAAAAATCTCCGTAGCGTGGCGCCACGCTAGACGGCGGAAATTATATATTTAATTATAACAAAGTTACAATAAGTTAATATATAATTATATATACAGTACCTAATTTATATATAATTAATATATAATTATATGTACAGTACCTAATTTATATATAATCTATATCATACTGTCCAGACGATAGAAATCTGTTAGTAGTTGGCGCTACGAACGGTGGGAAAGTAGTTCGGCTGCCCGATGACGTTTGAGGTAATTATAGGGGGTTTTTACTGTTTTTTACGGATACCAGTTACAATTTTTTCCTAGTTTTATAGGAATCGTAATTATAGGGACCGTAATTATAGGGGGGTCGACTGTATTATTACAACTTAAACAATTTACAAACGTTTTATGTTGCTAATAAAATCAAATTATCGCATAAATATAGAATTACACAGTATTATACTCAATGAAAAGATACTTATTATTATATATACGAAAAATTACTCAACAGATGAAGAAAATAAAATATTCTTTATATTTAATGCTAAACTTTTTTCTGTAATGTACTGTACGTGTTGGATCTTTCCTTATAAAAATCCGTTTGTTGAAAGTACACTTTGCATAATTTAAAATCGTTCATAGCACGTCGCAATTAGTATGGAAGATGTTTTATTATGAAAATATTTATAATTTAGATATATTTATGCCTTATAAATCTTCGATAGTAGTTCTACAATATCAAGTAAATTACTTTTGGTCGATAATAAATTAACGTTATATTTCTGACAGATTATTAAATTCATTTCATCAGTAATTCATTTATTTTCATTGTTTTCATAAACTTTATAGTAGTTTTGTTTTAACATAGTCTTCTTATATATAAATATACATATAATTATGTCTTTTTGATTCTCCATTAATATAACCGTTTGCTAATTTGCTTATTTCAATGTTTTCATTGCTTTTTGCTAATGTACAGAAACTTTGTTAATACAGTTAAAAACAGTAAAAGGGATAATTGATCCTTCAAGTAGCAGAAAGTAGTTTTACGCAAATCTATTTTGTAAACTTCAACATCGTGTTCAAGAGAGGTAATCAAGGTTATACATCCTGTCCCAGGTGGTCTTACTACCACCCTTTTCTGTATCTGCGTACTAGAATATCCTACCGACATCCATGCAACACCACCTTTTACTAGATTATAAATTTATAGTGCTATGCGCTTAAAACCTTACAGGTTGTAATCGCATAGAACTATAAACGTATAAACTGTATATAGCGTATAGCACTATAATACAGTTTTACTGTATTACATGAATTGCTATTCACTCCATATAATACATTAAATCAGTAGCATGACGTTGATGGACATTACTGCTGCAGAACTAAGTGCCTTTCTCGAGAAGAAAGTGACACCATAAAAACCTATAATAAAACTTATATAAACATATATACAATAAAAACCTCTATAAACTTAAATCTGTATCTAACTTTATCCACTTAAATTCTACATGGTGTATATATAGGACCTTATACACAGGTTAAAACTATGCATATTTAAACCTGTATACCAGTGATTTTCAACCTTCTTTAATACGCGACGCCTTTACAAGTTAAAAAATTCTGGCGACTCCCCTAGGGCCATATTAAAACTATATCAGTGATTTTAAAAACTATGCATTTAATTATCTTTCTGTTGAGACAAATTATTGTTGATTAAAATGTAAATTTCAGAAGAATCGACAATAATTTAACACACATAAATTATGAAACTTTCTTTTATTATAACACTGGGCCCGGGGAGCTGTTGACCTTTTTTTTATTTTCATCAGAATTATCAGCTTCTACTTTCTTACTTTTTATTTCTTTTTGCAAATCAGCTCAAGACTTTTTCGGCTATGATTTTCTAGGGTGGGCCGTACCCACCCACGCCCTCCCTGGCTACACCCATGGCTGAGACCTAAATATCGATCAAAAAATCAATTGTACTGTAAAATAAACAGGTACAGCTTTCTCGCCGAAAATGTAGTTTTTTTAATGTGCTGTAGGACCTAAAAACACTTGTCTTATATCTTTTACTTGCGACCCCCGTGTAAGGCTTCGCGACCCACAGGTTGAAAAACACTGCTGTATACCATAAAAATTAGTGCATCCAGACCAACACCATAAAACGTAAGTGATACCATAAAATTAAAATATGTATTTAAAAAACCAACAATACTTTATACTGGTTCATAAAAGTTATTAAAGTTCACATTTTAGTCTTGATCTCTCCGACATGAAGAACATAAAGTCAACCGAAGACAAGAGAAAGTCTCACACTGCGAAGGTAGTATATGTTAGATTGATGTAACAGTCTATCACGCGTATAGATTAGGCTAGATATATATAAGATTTATTTTGATCTCTGAGATTATTGTATTTTTATTTCATTAGTTTTGTTAAATTTTGTTATTGTTTATAATGGTTTTGACGAATAGTTTTGAACAAAACGCGTATGTTGACACTCCCCACTCGAAAGAAAAGCCCTCCTAAAACCATCTTTAACTTACGCGAGTAAAACCGCGATTATCTAGTTTAACCGGTTCTGACAAGATTAAGATTTTCCCGAAAATTGATCTACATAAGCTAGAAAAAGTAATCCTTAGACAACGTGAGCGTACATTAAAATTTAAAGTAACGACGTCTTAACTATTTTTCGCCGTCTAGCGCCACGCTACAGAGAGTTTAGGCGAACTATCGTCTGTACAGTATGTAAATTAGGTACTGTAAGTCTAATAGAGTACTGTAATTTTATACATTTCTTGTGAAAGAAACATTTCTCATTCAACGGCGATTAAAATTATATATATTAATGATGTCTCCAAAGTTCAACGAAGTTTTCGCAGAAAAATAACATCTGAAATCGCGGCCGCAGTTTGCTGCGCTGTTCCTCGACGAAAACAAGTTTGAGCAACGGCGATGTCGAATCGTGCACACTCGGTAAGTAATCCTACAATTTATTATTTATAGCGTAGTTTATACGGATTATTTCCAAAAAAATATACGTATTTTAGAAATGTTAAGTCTAATTAGTCTAGAATCGATTAATTTTATGGAAGAAAACCTTTCAAACAGCCGTGGTCTGTAAACTTCAGACGTGTCAAATACGTGAGCCAATCACAGCCCAAGGATTCCTACAACGCAAAATTCGTATAACGAGGAACGTATCTTCGCGTTATAGGAGGTCTACTGTAAATCATTTATTCTATTGCCTAACTATAAAACTTTGTTTACTTCAAAGGTCGGCACGCTTTTCTTCCTAAAGCTGTTATCACATAATACAATTATTACGTTGAGTTTTAATAAATGAAGTGAATAAAACAACTGTAATATACATGAAACTTGAATACATTATGAATAATAACTCTCAAATGTTTTCACTGTATTGTATATTTAATCAGACAACAAAGCCTGCAAATGAATTGTACAACTTTCGTCTGATATCGAAAAATTCCTTACTTTTTTCTAAACCGACCTGCTTTAAAATCTTTAAGTAATTATTTATAAATAATTCCTGACATAATTTCTTTGATAGTTTATTTATCTACGAGATATTTGAACCCTAGATATACCACTTATAATCTACTGCATGTGGATTGGATGATTGAAATGCACAGACTTTAAAAACATTCACAGTTATTAATGTTGGAAATTACTTGACCTGATTGAAAAGTATTCTTTCAGTTTTAGGGTTTAAAGTTTAAAAGATAAATGCCTGGCATTATCTTTCACATTTTGGTAGAATCTTGTAATATGAATTAGATTTTTGTGTATACAATCAATGAAAGTTTGTGTTAACTTGTTCAAAGATAATTCAGTCGCATTTAAATGTTTAATTCTGCCAATATCGCATGTGAGTTGTAAAGAGTCACAAATCTTTAAATTTTAAACTGTGAATCATTGCCAGATTTTGATGCACGTAACTTATTTAAAAGTAAAGTAATTTCTTTTAGAATTAGAATTTTTTAAAATATACTTGATGATCTTAGCTGTATTTTTACTTTTTGCGGTTGTTATATATAACAGATAAAAAGTATGACCATCGGTCAAAAAATAAGTTTGGAGTTCTAAGATTACTCGGTTTTTGGACAAGTGGCCTTGAAACGTCCGGAAATACATAAAATTCGTTTTTTATGTATATACGGTATTTTGTATTTGTGTATATATAAGTGTGTGTGTAAAAAGTACAATTTTGTTCACCATTTTTAAAGCTTAATAACGGCCGTGTCTTAAGTCAAAATTATCTAATATTTTGTAGGATAGTTGATGTACAAGGGGATTGATGTTATAAATTTTAGTTGTTAAAACTCGAACGGGTGAAGAGAGAAAGAGGTCGTGTCATATCTCGTGTAGGGTCAGATATGATGACGATTTTACTCGTCATTAGCATTTACAATTTTTTTGTTTATTTTCACAAAACTCGTTTTTATCTTCAAAATTAAGCTATTTGCCGTTTAACAATAATTTAAAAATATAAAACGTTTTTAAATAAAATATCGTAATAAATGGCGCCACCAACTGTTCCCGGAAAAGTTAAGCAACTCGTTGCTGAATTCTTTAGAATGTTCATTATTAAACAAATATGCATTTGTTTTATTCAGAAACACTTAAAAAATATTATTGAACAATTATACCAATTTTTACCTTTAAAAAGATTAAATTGCAAAATATAAAATGTCATTGTTTGGGAAAATATTTAGCAAAGTAAATAATTTGATCGTAATCATTGTAATGAATTACGATAAATTATTGGTGTTGATAAACATCGTTCATTGCGTTGTACGGTAAGTTGAGTGCTACCGTAGCAATTTCAGAATAATTAGGACAAGAAAATTATGCTAAACAACATTAATAATTAAATTATTTCTTTTCAGTTGGATTTTCCCAACAATAAATGAGGGAAGAAAACGAGTTTTAAAGGAAGAAGATTTATACAAATGCTCAAGATATCATACTTCCGAGTATCTTGGCGATCTGCTACAGAAGTAAGTTAGTTATTATTTAGTTCTGGACATCGATATTTTAGTTACTGCTACCTAATTCTTTCAGATTTATTTATTATTTGGATAAATTTAAACAAATTAAATAGAACAAGATAATGTTGTTATATATATATATAATGACTAGTAATAATATATAATAACTAATAATAAGTAATATATATATATATTATAACTCAGTGTTTCTCAAAGTTTTCGGTCCGCGACCCCCCTTTTGCACTTAAGAATTTCAAAGGACCCCCTGAAGAATGGGTATGTGTAGAAAAACATCCCGAAGGTGGGATTAATTTAAATTCAGAAGGTGTTAATTACTTTTGTTTAATTGCATTGAAACATTGAATTTTAATAGCAGATTTATTTTTAGTATCATTAAAAATTAATAACTTATCTTTGGTACATCTTTGAACAAAATATTCTATGTATATGTTTCAACATTAGTAAACTCAATTAGTTAAGTTAAACATATTTTAAATTACATAAATTAAATAATAAATAAAATAAATAAATTAAGGACATTGATGCATATTAAATTATATTTTAAATTACATTTAATGTGATGGGTGAGCCTGCATATTTTGGCACAATAAATTAAACCTGGGTTTAATATCAGTCAGTGCAGGTCTCATAGCAATTTCTATGTTGCAGAGACGAGAGCGCTGCTTTGTTTTGATATTGGTCATTACTGAAAATGCCATTTCGCATAAATAAGTGGTTGCAAATGGTAAGAGAACTGCCATTGCTAACTCAGAGAGTAGTGGATACTCTGCTTTCACACTAAGCCAAAAAGAATTCAATGTTTGCTTACTAAACTCGGTTTTAAGTTTTGTATTACAACTAAATTCGGCAAATTCTTCTTGGGCACTTAATGGGAGATGTTTCACTTGTTCCATTTCTACAAGGAATGGTTTTTGCACCCAGATAAACTGTTCAGTATTTAAATCTGATAAAAAGTATTTTTTAAATTGTTCTTCCATACATGACAAATGATCAATTATGATTTTCTTAATTAAAATATTATCCAAATTATTTTCTGTGATAAAATCATATGTACTTGAAAACATTACCAACATGCCATTTTCCACACTTGATTTCCATAAGTTTATCTTCTTCATAAACGCATGAATTTTATCATACAAAATTAATATGATTGTGTTCTCACCTTGCAGTTACATATTCAGTTCATTGAGTTTCTCGAATATGTCTGACAAATAACACAATTTGCAAACCCAAGTTTCATTGTGGAAGAGACTAGAAAAATCGGACTTTGTTTCTGATAAAAATATCATTATTTCATCTTTCAACCCTATTATTCGTTTTAAGGCTCGTCCCTTTGACAACCACCTTACTTCTGTATGTAGTAAAAGTTGTTCGTAATCCGCTCCCATATCCTTACATAAATTTGCAAACAAACGACTATTAAGTGCACGACATTTTATGAAATTTATAATACGTATGGCATCATTTAAGACCACATTAAGATCTAGTGATATATTTTTAGCTACTAATGCTTCTCGGTGGATGATGCAATGGGTAAGAATGATATGGCCATTTGTAATAGATTTAACTTTTGCTAGAAATCCGACGCGCTGTCCCTTCATTGCTGCTGCACCGTCAGAACATACACCAATACAGTTATCCCAGTCTAATCCTTCTTTCTTGAAAAAATCATTAACTTGTAGAAAAATATCTTCGCCTGTTGTACGATTGTTCATTGGCCGACAAAACAGCAAATCTTCATGTATATTAAGGGCGTAGCTATATCGAACATAGACCAAGAGTTAAGCTAAATTTGTAATATCTGTTTATTCATCCAGCTGAATTGCAAATTTTTGACTTTCTTTAATTCTTTGTATAAGTTGCTGAAACTGATCACAGCTAATTTCTGAAATCCTTCTAGTAACTGTATCATTGGAGAGAGGAATTTTCCGCAATTCATCTGCATACTTTTTTCCATGAATAGTTTCTGTAATTTGTACTGCAGTAGGTAAAACAAGTTCTTCTCCAATTGTGTATGGTTTTTTAGCCTTTGCTATTAGATATGATGCTTGGTAAGATGCTAAAAAATATCTTTCCTGAGTAAAAGCATACTTTTCTAACAAAGATTTGCTTTGATTTGATGACTTTAATAAACTTTGAAAATATTCTATAGGCTTTTTTGAATAAGCAGCATGTTTCGTGTTGAAATGCCTTAGTAGTTTTGAAGGCTTCATGCTTTCAGCCGCCAAAATATCATTGCATAATAAGCATAAAGGTAGTTGTTCGTCATGTGTACCGGCAGAAAATGTAAATCCATATTGTAAATATGATTCATTATACATTCTCCTTTTTTTATGAACTGGTCCCGTTGCAGGTTCTATTTCTGCTTTTTTACTGCTTCCCGCCTCAGCAAGATCTTTTGCACCTACATTCGTAACTTTTCTTTTCAACCATTTATCCATATTTAAGCATAGAACGTTTTTGATACTAGATGTCGCTATGCGTCATAATTTTTATATTAAAACAAACTTTCAAAATATAATTTTTTTGTTTTTATATTTATGAATATATCTATTTTGTTTGTGAAAAATAAAAAAATAATTGCGGACGATAAAATAGCCACGATTTTTTTTTAAATAAAACGTGTAATTTTCGTTAGGCTTAACATCGACAGAATTCAACATGGCGTCACACGCGACGAAAAATAATTTTCCTAATATTAGACATTAGATCAAAGGAAGAGAGAGCTATCCGTTTCTTGTTTACGGACTTGGCCCTGTTGGAAGAAATTTTCCTAATAAAAACAAAGAAATAAAAATACTTTAATTACATTTATTTTGATATATAATTAGCAATAGAATACTATGGAAATGTTTAGTAAGTGGGCACTTTGTTTTGAATGTAAATATTTCTAACTCGATGTGCCTACAGACGCAGCCTGCTAGCGAACGTTGTTCTATCATAGTTTAGGTGGGGAGTGGAAACTCGGGGATTCCCCAATAGCGCACAAATTTTTTAGTTATTGATATATTCAGGATCATATTAAAATATTCATATTGTATTTTATTATATATATTAAGTAAAAATTATTTTATATATTTTTGATTTCTATTTCCAAACATGAATCTATAGTAAATTTATAAAATATTTGAAAAAAATTGATCTGTCATCAATTTTGCTGCGACCCCCCAAATATTTTTCACGACCCACTTGGGGGTCGCGACCCCCACTTTGAGAATCACTGTTATAACTAATAATGACTAATATATATATATAAGTCATTATTACTTATGTACTGAATATATTGTGACTTTGGGTTCAGTGTCTCTTTGACACCAGGTCAGCTTGTGACACCACCGAGTCTGTCAGGACTCGGAAATCGCGACTTTTCGTCACGCGACGCGGGTAAGCTGTTGGATTCGGAGTAGAGGTGGGGAGAGAGACGAGGAAGTGATTCACTCAGAACTCTGGTTAACTAACAAGAACAATTTTAATTTTAACAAAAGAGACTACAGATATACTGTCGATATCAAGCATGACTAAAGAACCCATTGATTATTACTAGCCCGTTCGAGAGAGAGCGTTTACAAACGACGATCGCGTGTTGATAAATATCTTGTTAAGAGACATGTAGTAATCCTGGATTCTGGCACTTGGAAGTGTAATTATCTAATGTTATGGATGTACTAACACAGAGGGTGAAACTGATTATTAAAACAGTCCACAAATGAATATCCAATGGCTTCCCGGTTGGGTAGTTCAGAAGTTCAGAAGTAGTATTCGGAAGATGCAGGGACAAGTTCGTCTTTCCATTCCCAGTTGAATGACTAGAAGACGACTGCCTGGATTCTCATCGCTCTCTCTGCTTATTGGGGATTTTTACTTCTGGGGTTTTTCCAGAAGGTCAGGAGTTTATTGCCAACGGCCTGGAGTCCAATACTGGAAATTTATCGGAATTTCTGGGTGACACATTAATGGCTAGATGGATCATCCTCAACAATGAAACAAGTCCGTGGAAACTAATTTTTATGATAGCTATTGATAAAAAAGTCGAAGTTAAACGACAAAAATTGTAAAATGACCAAAGATCAAGATAACACGTTCTTGAGGATCCCTTCGTCCCTCACATCATGTAGCATAGGACTTAACAATATAAAAATTTATAGCAAAATCAAATTTATAATATTTATTTGATTTGCAGTAAAAATTTTATTGGAGTCACAACTACAATATTGCTGTATTTACTTTTTTTAGATTTCGTTCAATTTTCTTTACTTGAGATATTTTTATAGACAAAGTAATCTATAAAACACATTATTTCACTTTTTTCATCGAACTGAGTCTACTAACGTTTTTACTCGTTATTAACATTTAATTATTGTTGTAACAAAATTTTGTAAGGTAAAACAACTGGTTCCTAAATTCTTTTGAAATTTATGTTTTATAGCGCTGAGTGTATCAATGGCTGTGACGGGGACAATTTAAATCCATCCAGTTAATAATTGAACTTGAAAGTAAAGTTGAGATAGCTATCCTAGTTGGACTTAGCCATGTGAAAAGGGGAGGGTATAGAGGGATGAGTGAGAGGTAGGGTGGGGAATGGGAGGTAGTGGGATACAAGAGGGGAAAAAAGAGGTGGAAAGTGGCGGTAGAGTTTGGGATCACAATCCTGATTGGCATCGCACTTACAAAAGAAAACAGTCGTTGGTACAAATAATTTGCAGAATGCCTTTCCAGCTAGACGGTTACAATAGTGAATACAGAGCAAAATGTACATGGCAGTGGCCTATTGCCACTGGTAATTCTGACAAAAAAGTACCATACTAAAACACAGGTACTACACTAGTTGTATGTTACATAAAAGGACAATGTTATGTTAACAGAAGACCGTGTTGACAAGACTGCTGATTGGAGCAAAACCCAGAGAGTCACAGATGCAATCTAAGACCAGTATAAAAGGGGTTTGACGTAGGCCTGAGTTATACTCGAAGCGACCACGAGAGTTAACA